AGTCGCAGTCGCAGTCGCAGTCGCAGTCGCAGTCGCAGTCGCAGCAGTAGCAGTAGCAGTAGCAGTAGCAGTAGCAGTAGCAGTAGCAGTAGCAGTAGCAGTAGCAGTAGCAGTAGCAGTAGCAGTAGAAGAAGAAGTAGTAGTAGTAGTAGTAGTAGTAGTAGTAGTAACTTAGTAGTAGTCGTAGTAGTAGTAGTAGTAGTAGTAGTAGTAGTGGTAGTAGTGGTGGTAGTTCTAGAAAAGTAATTACTAGTAATAGCAGTACTAGCACTATTATCAGTAATCATTGCAGTACCTCAGCAGGCAAGCTCTCGCAGGTCAAGACACCCAGCACTGCCGCCGATGCCGCAGCGATGCTGCGAGAGCGCGCGGCCGCTGTCGCGAGGGAAGAGGAGGAGGCAGGGAATTTCGAAAGTTGTTTGTTATGTAGTAGCGCGAAATGTCTATGAGGGTTTGAAGCAGGTTTGTTGGAAGGATCGGCATGGTTTTCGTACGTGTTTGATCAGGGAGTTCGGGTCCCCACTTCTCCAAATTCGAGTTAAGGGAATTCGGTTCCCCACTCCTCCAAATTCGAGTTATCCCTAAACCGTAAACCCTAAACCCTAAACCCTAAACCCTGGGGCTGGGGCTGGGGGCTCGAGGTCTTCGGTGTGAACGTCTTCAGGGAAACTGTCGGGCTCCAGGGCCTTGAGAACTCAGAGACTCCAATATCCCTTAATTAAGGAATATACCTTAAATTATAGTAGGATCCCGAATATGATTTAAGGTATACCCTAAACCCTAAACCCTAAACCCTAAACCCTAAACCCCTTTCTTTGAGGGATATTGGAGTCTCTGGGAACTCAGGCTTGGCGAGGACCGGACTCAGAGTTCTACGGCTTTGGGGAAGGGGCTTGAGGATTTGTTTCTAGGAGCCCGGTTTAGGGTTTAGGGCCGGCATTCTGAGTATTGTGAAGGGTTTAGGGTTTAAGGTTTAGGGGTTGGGTTTAGGGTTTAGGGCCTAGGGTTAGTGAGACACTCTGTTCGTATGCCGTGGGTCATACGGATGATTGTGGTGATTCTTAAGTACATGAGGCTTGATCTGACTGATGGATGTGTGGACATGAAAGGATCGGATATCGGGCACCATGACGGCCTGCAACGCTTCTTATACACATAAAAAGTCCAGTCAGCCCGATCCGAGACTCACCCAACCTGCACCGAACCCGAACTAACCCGAAGAATCTCTACATCATCGTATGGTTCACAGGTTTGAGGTTTAGGCTTCGCCGAGGTGCACCTTCTGCTGATTGTCCGTAAGGTACGTTCACTGCTACTAGTAGGATCTAACGTAGCCGGTTTAAGATTACGGGTTCAGGGTTTCGTAGAATAATGGAACTTTATTTTATAGGTATTGGGCCAATATGTGACATACTTTTGAGGGGTTTAGGAGCCTAGCCCTAAACCCTAAACCCTAATCCCGAAAACTGTACAGTGCAAGGGTGCTTCGGGTTCCGGGCTTAGCCCTAACCCTAAGGGTCCAAGTACCTAATTATCATAATAGTAACCTACCTTAACCTACTTTTTTGTAGGGTCCCTGCAAATGCCATATTAGGGTTCATAATGAGAACCTAGAAAAAACTAGGCTTGGGTAGGTTAAGGTACTGCACGTTAGGAGCTTGAACTCAACCTTATGCGGCACTAAACCAGCTTTATCCCTTTTATGATCCACCATGCCAGTGGTCTGCGACGTGTTTTCGAGTTGGGGTTAAGGGGTCCTTTGGAACCTCGGGGTAGGAAGAGCCGTTGTCCTGCAGCGAGGCGAGGCTGAACATGCGAGAGGTCCCGCTAGCAGCTTGGCTTAATGCGGGATCAGCTTGATGATTAGGGTCTAGCTAACTTCGAACCGACGAAACCCTCATCATGTTTATCTTGAGGTTTCGGATTTAGACATCTAGGTTAGGATTTCCTGGCCCAGCCCACTCCGCAACTAGGAATATTTATGTTTTATGTAGCTTGAGTGGAGCCATACATCGAAGCCAGCTCCCTGTACTGCTGCCTAAACCCTAAACTGCAGGACAGTTGTACGTCAGGTTACCTTGTTTCCCGACTTGCATCAACCCCCGAAGCCCTGAACACTCCACTCTTCTAGAGTCTGGGGTTTAGGGTTTAGGGTTTAGGGTCGCGAAAGCCAGTGAGTTGGGCGTAAGTAGATCAGTAGCAGTCAGTGTGTAAGCTGACCACCTCAAGAAGGGTAATGTAGATCATTGACAAGAGAACTTAGATCTCAAACGGGGTTATGATCGGATCCCACATCCAAACTATTCAGGCCCTTCCAGAACGGGGGATTTATGAACCCGGGGTCTATACTGTTGCTGCTTTGTCAGAATGCCTCTGCTCGGTACTGTTTACTTTTGTTCAGTTACAAGCTATAATGTAGGGGCCTAAATAATTGCGAATACTATTTTGGGGGTTCCTTATTTTAACTGTACTATAATAGGCCCCCAAAAACCTATTCTAACTAGTAAGGCCCTAAAGTAAGAGCCCTAGGTCGGTTTTAGGGTTTAGGGTTTCTAGGCCAGGGGTCGATGGTTTGAGCTGTTAGGGTTTAGGGCTCCCTATCCTCCAAGTGCGCTCTCCTAGACCCTAACCCGTAAACCCTAAACCCCTAGCCCCCGGTTTAGGGTTAGGGTTTAGGGTTTAGGGAAACCCTAAACCATAAGCCTCCAATCCCCCCCAAAAAAAAACTCAATTCATCCCTTATAAGCCCTAAACCCCTAAGCCCCGAAACCCCTAAGCCCAATCCCCGGAGCCCCATAACCTAAGACCCATCATCCCCGAAACCCTAAACCCTAAACCCTAAACCCTAAACCCCACACACACACACCCTAAAGTCTAAATCCCTAACCAGGACTTGGACCTTTCCCAGCCTCTTGGCATCCTCTTCAACAAGACCCTGGAAGCCGAAAGCGTTACGGAAGGCCTTTTGGGGTGGAGGGTTTAGGGTTTTAGGGCTTTAGGGTTTTAGGGTTTTTAGGGTTTCGGGTTTTAGGGTTTAGGGTTTATGTCGGGTTCTTTTGGAGTTGTTGCGTGGGTTTAGGCGTGTTTAGGTCAAAGTATATAAGGATTTAGGGATTGAGTATTTCAGGCTTCGCCACGGGCTTGAGAAAGAGTTGCATAGGGCATGGGGGGTTCAGGGATTCGAGATCCTGGCTTTGGGGTGTAAGGGTGTAGGCCCAAAGCCCTAAACC